ATACGCAGCCGTGTTTGTGATCCTACCTTGGGTGGTAGTGAACGCCTCAAAGAAATCGACATCAGATTCTTCCGTCATTTTGCAGATCTGCGTGGAACTTGGGCATTGCATCCTGAAGGTCTAGCAGTACCTTTTGAAAAGGTGCCCATTTTGCTTCAGTTGCACAAAATCCTTATTTTACTGCATCAGCTTTCCCTATCAATTTGATTTTGCTCATCCTTCTCCTCTATCGTTTCCTCTGCGCATGAGCAGTAAGTAGGTTGCTGTTGCTGTTGTTGTGTGCCTTCAAGCCATTTCTGACTTATGGCAACCCTATCACAGGGTTTTCTTGGCAAGATTTGTTCAGAGGAGGATTGCCATTACCTTCCCCTGAGGCTGAGAGCGTGTGACTTTCTCAAGGTCACCCACTGGGTTTCATGGCTGAGTGGGGATTCGAACCCTGATCTCCAGAGTCCTAGTCCAGCACTCAAACCACTATGCCACATTGGGTCTTCTAAGCAGGTAGGACTTTTCTTTCAAAAAGTATCCTCCCTTGTGCTCCCACGATCAGCCTTCCTGCACCTCTTAATAACGTTGTCTTGTTAGGGTTGCCAAATTTTTTCGCCACCTTCTGCTCTTGTGTCTTTAACAACACTTTCAGCTATTAATAAATGATAACATTTCTCTCACATTTATGGTGTAGCCACACTGGGGAATAAATTTAAACAGATTGATACCACTCTGTCACAACTCTAGTCTACAAAATTCTGGGATTTTTCATTTTTTGGACGGATTCAGCCCAGTCTGGTGCCTTACCAAACTATACATCCCGGGATCCTGTAGGACAGAGACATAGCAATTAAAATAGTCTCGAATTGCTTTAATTCTGCAGTCCGGATATACCCCAAGCATAAAGCATTTTGTTTGCTGTGGAGCAAAGGTGTATTGCTCATACTTTTCTAATCAATATGCAGAGAAAGCGGAGAAAGCATCACCAAGGTGGAAGCCATGGCAGTTAAAAAAGGTACAGACGCAGCTCAAATTTGCAGCAAAGATATACTGTGAAGCCAAATATTGCATAACAGAGGAAGCATGAAACCCAGTGGCTGGCCTGGGGCAAGTCACACTCTCTCAGCCTCAAGGGAAGGCAATGGCAAACCACCTCTGAACAAACCTTGCCAAGAAAACCCCATGATAAGCGCACATTAGGGTTGCGATAAGTCGGAAATGACTTGAAGGCATACAACAACAGCAGCAAGAACAAATCGCCAAGAAGAGACCAAAATAGACATGGGGACGATGAGGTGAGGATTGCCAACTGACCAGGGAAAAATCATCCCTAACCTTGCTTCTGTGCCTTTTTCTGGCTATTTGGCAATCCCCGCCACATCTTCCCTATGTCTATTTACGGTCTCTCTCTTCTTGAAGTTGTTTCTTTCTTTATGCAATAATAGCTTATCCTTGTGGACAGGTGCTCAAAGATGCTACAAGGCCCCTTTGCAGGTTTAAGAGAAATACATTGAATACAGTCACCTCTCCATATCCACAGATTCTTTTTCCACGGATTCAAGCATCCATGGCTTGAAAATATTCAAAAAAAGGATGAATTCCTTAATTTTGCAATGTCATCGAAGGAATGACATTTTACTGTGCCATTGTATAAGACTGAACAGATTCAAGCATCCATGGATTTTGGTATCCACAGGGAACTCTGGAAATAAACTCCAGCAGATCCCAAGGCCCCACTGT